CAATATATTTTTAAATTGAATTCTGTTGAGCAATAAAAAATTCGTAACAAGTGGATATTTTTTCTTAGAATTTTTTATTAATGCAGAAATACACTGGTTCCATTGAGAAATACATTGTTGTTTTATGGAAAACTTACCATACTTGATTGTGTTGAAAAAAGAATAGTATAGCTTACTATTTTCTGTATTCCTGGTGTGATGAATATGAACTTCGTTTATTTTAATAAAAAAATTTGAAAAAGGGCTTGGTAGTTTATTTTGGAGAAAGTCAAACACAAAAAGACAATTATAAAACTTTACAAGATTTTGGAGTTTTAGGATTTTTAGTTCAGAAAATTTTTTTTCGATATCAGATCTCATTTGGGACAACGTCATTATTTGAATAGATGCGCATTGTAAACTAGCAATGTTATTAAGTAAAAAGTTTCTTTTTTGACCCCAAACAATACAACAATAGCAAAGGTGAGAAGAGAATAAAGAAAAATAAATCATTCGAAGAGTTTGGATAGGAACATAGTAACGAATTAGAGAAAGCATTCTGTTAGCTCGTGTAAGTTTTTTTTTTAGATGATACAGTTGATTATACCAAGATAGGTTTTTATCAAGATATATTCCAAGATACTTTATATATTTTGATGGAAAAAGTTTTTTACCGTTAATTTTAATTTTAATATGATCAATAGTTTTTTGAGGGGAATGAAAAATAATGTATTCAGTTTTATTAACATTCAAGGAAATACGGTTACTATTTAACCAGTTACATAAGCGATGAAGATCTTGATTAACTTTTTTACAAAGAGTCGTGAGGGATTTGTTGATATATAAAAGATTGGTATCGTCAACATAATGATGTATCATAGAATTTTTTAATGAACAAGATAAATCATTTATATATAATAAGAACAACAACGGTCCAAGAATGGAACCTTGTGGAACGCCATATTTAATAACTTTATGTGTGGATTCAAATCCATTAATTGAAACAAACTGAGTGCGATCCGTAATATACGAAGAAAACCAATTATTAGCAATACCACGTATTCCGTAGTAGTTTAACTTTTTTATTAGAATGTTGTGATCAACCGTATCAAAAGCTTTTTGAAGATCTATGAATACACCAAAAGCAAAAGAACCACTGTCAATTGCACCACAAATCATTTTAGTAATGCTAATAAGAGCGTGAGAAGTGGAGTGATTTGAGCGAAACCCAAATTGTCGAATATGAAAACAAGCAGAATTATTTAAAAAGTTGTAAATACGAGAATACATAAGTTTTTCTAAAAGTTTGCTGACATTTGGTAATAATGAAATTGATCTGTAGTTATAACATTCCAGTTTTGAGTCTTTTTTATGAATTGGGATAACAGAAGCAGTTTTTAAAATATTAGGGAATACACCGGTTGTGAATGAGAGATTAAATAGTACAGAAAGTACAGGAGAGATATCATTTGCAAGAGCTTTAAAAATAGGTATTGGAATGCTGTTAGGTCCCGAAGCCTTGCTGTCATTAAGAGAATGAATAATCGATAATACTTCGTTTTTGTCTGTAGGTTTTATGAACATTGAATTAAGATTAAGATTTTTAAGATATTTATTAAAGTTGGATGAATGGATCTTATTCGGTAAATCTTCCGGAACTGAAAGAAAGAATGAATTAAAAGATTCCGAAATTTTAATGGGGTCGTATACCATGGAGTTGGTAGAATATAAGCATGAAGGAGATGAGTTAACTCTCGAACTAATGTTTAAAAGGTTCTTAATACCATTCCATGTAGATTTCAAATTTTTGGCATTTTCAGAGAAGAACTTAGAGTAACGGTTCTTTTTACTACGACGGGTGAGAGTAACAAGTAAGTTTCTATATGTTTTATAAGATTTTTCTAGATTGAATTGGTTATTAGGATTCTTTGCTTTAAGAAATTTGTTAAATATTTTATTTCGCATTTTAATAGAAGTCAAGATTCCTCGTGTTATCCAAGGTTTGAGACCCCTTGATAAGCAGCGATTGCTGACTTTTTTCAATGGTGCATGTTTATCTTAAAGTTACCATGACTTTAATCATTTGAATGTTGAAATTAAATAAGTAATTTACGGTGACAACAACTTTGAAGAATTAAATAAAAAACTGGTAGAAATTCAACTAGATCCTCACTTGGATGTTGAACAAACAACGTCCAACTGGTATGAAAAACTCAATAAAATTTTAGATGAATTTGCCCCATATAAAATTATCCCTAGAGAAAGAAAAGATCATCATGGATAGACATTGAAATAAGAAAACTCATTGAAAAGAGAAAATATGTGACTAGAAAATTAAACCAAAACAAGCTCTCAGAAATCCAATACCAAGATTATAAAACTCTAAAAAAATATTAGAAGTCAAATACGAAAAAAGGAAAAAAAAAGGAAAAGAGGCATTTACAAGTAAAAACCCAAAAGATAATTGGAAATTCATAAAAAAAGTTACTTTTACAAGCAAAAGAGCAAATCAGATGAATGAAAAAATATTAACGTTGAACAAATTAAATGACTATTTTGCTTCAGTAGTACATCAACCTGAAAGAAAAATACTAGAATGGCCAACTCGATGTGATACTCTTAATTCCTTCCAATATGAAAAAATAAAGATAAGTTAAACAGAAAAACTACTAAATGCCTTAAAAACAAATTCAGCTTCCGGTTATGATGGCATTAAAGCATCTTTGATCAAAAAAGTTTCAAAATAGATCTCTTATAATCTAACTCAAATTTTTAACAAGTCTTTAGAAAATGGAATTTTTCCATCAATTTGGAAAAAAGCTCATATTAGCCCAATATGGAAAGGAAAAGGTAGTAAAAACGACGCAGCTTACTATCGACCAATTTCTATATTCGGTAGGGTTTTTGAATAATTGGTAGCCATACATTTCTCAAGTTTTAATGATAATTATCAACTTATTCCAAAACAACAACTTGGACTCAGGAAATTCTCGGGAGTTGAAACTGCTATTCTCACAGTTACAAACTCATGGTATAAATCAATTGAAGATGGAAGCAAATACCTGCTGACTACCAAATTCTATTAGATGAAATAACATTAAAGCCTGAAAACAATTTAAAATTATTAGGAGCACCCCAGACAGCAAGCTTACATTGGCCCAATGTAAGTTTTAACATTGGCAAGTTTATTCCGTTGGGCCAACATTTAGCCAATGTTTTTTTTCGGCGTATTATTTTCAATTTTGCAAGTCGGTTTTTTGCAAATATCGTACAATATTGGGCTAACATTTAGCCAATGTTTTTTTTTCAACGTAATATTGCAATTCTACAAATCGGTTCTTTGCAATTATCGTACTACGTTGGGCCAATATTTGGCCAATGTAGTTTAGGCTTAATATTTTGCCATAAAAATCTTATACCGTAGCCAATATTCGGCCAATGTAGTTGCGGATTAGTAACATTATAACATTAGTAACTTTAGAAACATTTTTAAAAATGGTATCGTTTGACAGAATAAAAAAAGGTTTTGTTTTCTTTTTTTTTTAATTATAAAAAGAAGAAGCTATATTTATTAATCTTCTAAGAATCTTAAAAGCTTCCTTATAAGAAATAAACTTCAAGAGATTCTCGTGACTTGATGTTTTGTTTTTTTAAATAATAAAATATTTGTTAACATTTAAATAATATGCTTAAAACATTTTTTACTACAATCTAAATTATTAATGTAATAATAAAGGCAAGAATTAAATTATTTTTGTGTAAGATCTTAAATTTATTATTTTATTTTTATTACTCTATTGGCATTTCAAATGTTTGATTTATTTAATAATCTTTATTAAATAAATGAAACATTTCGAATGTTGGATTTATTTAATAAAGAAGACATTTTAAATGTCTTCTTTATTAAATAAATCAAATATTTAAAATGTCATACAGTATAAGTTTTTTTTTTTCATAATTTATTTATAATAGTTTAGATTATATAGCTATTATAAGATATATTATTAAAGGTATCAATAATATATATGTGGCATTGTCGATGCCATTGTCAATGCCAATGTCAACTTCAATGCCATTGAAGTTGTTAAAAGCTGATATTTTACATTTTAAATATGTCTCTTTTGTTTGATTTTTTTCTGTGTTTGATTATGAAACCCCATCTACTAACATATTAAAACAGTGTACAAAAAGTGATGTTACTAGAACTTATAGTCTACGTATGTAGAGCTTTCTAATATTCCATGTTTCTGAGGTTTAATTATTTTTTAATTTAACATTCAAAAATGACCAGTCAAAATAAAGATTAAAGAGACAAAAAATTGTGTATATTTTGGTGTAGATGATTTATCTTCATTTTGTTATAATAAAACAAAAAATGTTGAGAAGTTGAATAAACAAATTTATTAAATGGTAAGTTTTTATGTAAAAGTCTTTATGTCTGATGATTGAAAATCTTTATTCATAGCTTTAGCTTTTACAACTTTAAAAACTTTTTCATATATTACGGTCAAAAAGTCATAGTGTTAATTAACGTTTTATTGTGTAATAATCAACATATCAAAGCTTGGTCGGGAAGCGAGAGCGATCTCTCTCTAATACTGACCACGGAAAAACTGGCCAGGTTTTCTAATTGATTTAAGGTAACAAAAAATTTTTTTTGGATTTCAAAGTTGGTGTCACCAACTTTGAAATCTATTTGAATTAAACTGTTGAAAAAAAACAACAGAGTATTCATATCAGTTTAAAGTTTTAACAGTTGCTGGTGGTTCATTATTATTCAATATATAAACGTTTATTTAAATTTATATAATAGACGAAGGTAATACAATATTTTTGTAGATGATATTATTTTTAAAAACTGTATTATTAAAATTCAGAATTAAAATAAGTAAAAAAAATTATTTACAAACATTGGACAACTTTATATTTCAAATAACCACACTTTTTATGAAAGTGAGGTTATTTGAAAAGAATATTTTTTTTTAGAAAAAGATCAAATTATAAGATAAAATAAAGATTTTTTTTGGATAAAAGAAACAATTTTTAGATAAAATAAAATAAAGTTTTTCACAGGAGAAATGTTTTTCATTCTCTTGTAAAATTTTAATTTTGTGACGTCATATTTTCAAAAGACAGCACTCAATTAAGCTATTATGTTTTTTTTTGGTGCTACTCATTTAATTTTTCTGAAACTTATGTTTTTCTTAGTGTTCGTTCTTAGTCATCCTTAATAATAATATCCATACTAACATGTATAATAAGCTCCATACTAATATCCAACTTAACTAATAGCTAAGTTTTAAAAGTTTTGTCATTGAAAGCATGTACAATCTTAGCATTTCCATTACAGTAGATAGTAATTTTAAACATTTTGTAAAAATGATTGTTAAAAATGGTCAGGGAAATTCATTTGATTTTTCAAAAAAGTTATTGATTTTTATATAAATTGTTGGCTACGAACCCTGTTGGAGAAACATTGTTTTAATATGAATTTTTTTGTTGTACAGTGCAATCTGTATTTTATAAGAAACACAAAACAATTCTCGTTAATGTGTAAGCTTAAACATTAACGAAAATTGTTTTGTGTCAGTGCCAGAAATTAAATGCACACCTGCAAATTTCATAATTCATAAAAATATTATGAATCCATTAGCAAGTATATAATTTTATCATTAAAAATTTGACTTTCTTTCTTTAATTTTATCTGTTTTATTAGTGATTGTTGTATTTACTTTCATAAATTCTAAATATAATATGTAATTAGTTGTATAGTTTCTTAAAAGTTGTATCCTTGAAAGATATGCTGGTATTATTGGCACAATGGGCAAGCATTAAAGTGCAGCTTGGTGAAATACAAAACACATCAAATTCAGTTATAAAAATTTGAGTAACAAAGGTAGTATTTTTTTATGATCTGTTTAGGCATTTTGTATGATATCTTAGTACAACTTATATACTTTAAATAAAGTACTCTTTGAAGATTTCTTGTAAATGACATTTTATATTAATTTAAGTCTAAACAAAAGTTACTTTAATTATTGCCAGGTTGTGTATTTTTGCAGGTCAATTATTTGGCACAATTTGGAGTTAAAGACAAAGGAGATTGTATATGTTATTTACTAAGAATTGTTTTTTAAAATGGCATAGCTGTAAAATTAAACTATACAGGGAGAGGACAAAAGTTGGAATAGGAAAAAATGTTGATTGCATATGTTGCTATTGGTAAGTGGTTTAGAAAAGTTTATTTTTTCAGTCTCAATTTTGCATTACAGAAATAATTTCAATTTGTTATGTTTCTTTGGTGCATAATTAAACAAACAACTATTTTTTTTGTAGAAACTGTGAAGTCAAATAAGCATGGCTTATGCAGACATGTGATAGAGATAGTGGAAGAAAAAATAATAATAGTGGGTGCCAAATATCATAAGCTAAACACGATTCAATAACAAGTAGCTCAGCCAATATCGAAACTACTCTATAAATTTTATAGTGAATTTTTTTATTTGAAACTCAATGTGTCAGTTTTTGGTTTAAGTTTAGTGTTTGCAATGTGTATATTTAACCGAGAAATTATGTTAAATAAATACATTTTTATACTTGTATCATACATTCTTTTTTTTCTCTATAAATTTTTAATGTAGCGATGCAAGTCATCTTATTTGTAACAACGATCTAATGTTGCATAAAACGTTAGGCCGATATACGATATACGATATTGGGCCAATGTTGTATACAACGTTAGGCCAATTTTGTATAAAACGTTGGGCCAATGTTGTATACAACGTTGGGCCAATGTTGTATGCAACATTGGCCTAACGTTATATACAACGTTGGGCCAATGTTGGGTAAACGTTGTATACAACATTGGGCCAATGTTGTACACAACGTTGGGCCAATACCTAACCAATGATCAAACCTGCATTGGGCCAACATCGATTTTCAACGTTGGGCCAATGCATCATCATGCATTGGCCCAACGTTGGTCCAATGTAAGCTTGCTGACTGGGACCATTGGACCAGCATCTAACCTTTAAACAGCAGATTGAGTCGGTAATCAGAAAATGCCACTATTCCCTGGGAATGTTGGCAAAAGCATTTGCAAGCCTACCAAATAATTCTCTGAATGAACGATTCACGCTTCTGGAAACCCATAGCAAAAAATTTCAGTTTTTATATGACATTTTAAAACTCAAGGATATAGATGACAAAACGCTAGAAAATTATTGTTCCAGTCTTGAGTTTATACTTTCGGTTGAAAATGAAACAGATATAAATGCAAATGACCTTAGAGAAGAATTGCGTGATGTATCCAGAATGCTACCATATTCTACGAAACCTTTGGATGTTTTAAATTATTTATGCCAAAATAGCTTAATTAGTTTGTATCCAAATACTGTTGTAGCTCTGAGAATTTTATTAACTCTCCCTGTATCTGTAGTTAGTGGGGAAAGAAGTTTCTCCAAATTAAAATTAATAAAAAACTACTTAAGAAGTTCAATAGGACAAACAAAACTTAAAAATCTGGCATTAATTTCTATTGAATCTGCAATGGCTAGCACTCTAGACTACACATCAGTAATTAACAAATTTGCTAAAGTTAAAGTTAGAAGAGTAAAGCTGTAATACTGTACATTGTTGTAGTTTATAGTTGAAATCATTATTTTAAAATTTCAAAATAAAAAGTAGAATTCGTACATTTTGTGCAGTTTTTTTTAAAATCACAATCGAAGGTTATTTTAAAGAAAAACATTTAAGGGGCGGCATTTCAAAGATTTGCCTCATAATGAGAAAATCTACCGCACGGGCCTGTTATATATATCGATGTCTTAATACTGAAACAAAACTTGTATACTTTTTACTATACAAAACAATGCTTAATACTGTATTAAATTTTGCAATCTTTATATAATATTTATGAAAACTACTTTTATTAGTTTTTTTAAGAACCTATAGGTTCTTAAAAAAACCTTCTTAAAAAAACCTTCTTAAAAAAAGTTAAATGTCCTCAATGTTATAAGTGAGAGTATATCTTAATAAATATTTTTTTTACGGTAAATAAAAGATTATGTTAATAACTCTTTTATTAAATTGTACGAAGTTATAACAAAGTTGTACTTAGTTTATACTTAGTTATTCAAAGTTCTAGCAAAGTTAAAACGAAGTTATTTATAAACTTTCATTAGTTTTTTTAAGAACCTATAGGTTCTTAAAAAAACTAATGAAAGTAGTTTTCATAAATATTATATAAAGATTGCAAAATTTAATACAGTATTAAGTATTGTTTTGTATATATTTGTTTTTAGTAAAAAAAAGGTTTTAATATTAAAAAAAATTATTGTTGCTGTTGTTGTTTTAAAAGGTCATTTCAAAACTCAAAGCTTCTGCTATAAATAAAGGCTCTGCTTCAAAAGAGGTTAAACACGGCTGTTTCACTCAATATAAAAGCGAGCCTGACGTCACGAGTTTATCAAAAAAAAAAGTATTTCCGCATAAAAAGTATAAAAATTCATTAACTTTAAAATAATAGTATTTTTTTTTCTATAAATGCTTTCATCTTCAAATAAAAAAAATATAAAAGATCTATCTTTCCTTGTTAAATAAACATTTACATTAAACGGAATAAAAATGAAAGCTGTAAAAATATTGTTAATAATTTGACATCACTTTTCTGATTTTTGCGATTTTTACGCAAAACCTGTCTTAGGCCAACTAAGATTTGATAACATAGCTACATGGTCGATGGTTGAAATTTAGAACAGTTATTAATGAATGTCTGTTCTATCTAGATTTCCACAGACTTTGCAAGTTTTTATATAGAAAGTTAGTTTTTAATGCATTTATATTTTTGTTTTTATTCGTTTTGAATAAAAAACATAACATTTTTGAAAAGTCTGTGGATTTAGTAATACTTCAACCTTATATGAATAAGAAAATCAAAAAATTATTTTCTGTACCTCTAGCTATGTTATCAAATATGTTTTCAAACTTGGCATGTTTAGCGACATTTTTTTTAGTTTTTTTTGCATAAATTCTTGTTTACATTTTAAAGCGGTGACGCAAACTCGGATCGTTACGTCCCCAACGATTATCGGATGCATTTTAAGAAAACAAACAAAACAAACGAGACACATTTTATAGAATAAATAACAAAGTTTCGCGGATTAATTTCTCTTGGATATTTGACTAATTTCAGATAAGTTGATTAATCCGATTTTATCTAGTGCATCTATTTGTCAATATTATTCTATTTAAGTTGTTTGTATTATAATTTTATTACTATATCAATAAAGATTATAAAGCAAAGTTTCGTGGATTATTTCCTCGTGGATATTCGACTAATCTCAGATAAGTTGCTTAATTCTTTTATTTTTAGTGTATTTATTTGTAAATATTATTTTATTTAATTTCTTTTATTATATTATTATTATAATATCATTATCATTATTTATGCGATGTATGCAACTGAGAGGGAAATTTTGAAACTGTACATCGGTTGGGAAGATGGTTGGGAAAATGAGTATAACTTTAATTTTGTAAAGCGAGTAATTGACACTAGTAAGATCACTAACAATGTGATTTCAATTTTATTAACAGTTTTTCATCCAAAAGCGTTGTTTACTTTTTTAAGTTTTCTTTTGCCAATTGAGTTTAATATGCCTAATATTGATGTGTTAAATAAAATGTGCCGAAAAATAAAACAAAGAAAAAAAGATTCTAAAAAGTATTTTGAAGCTTCAAAAAACGAAGCATTTTTTAAAATGCAACTGTCTCCAGCTCCACAAACAAAAAAACAAAAAAAATCAGCAGATGCAGATAATTTTTATATTTTAAATAGGAATAAGGAACTAAGTAGTCAAGTTGAACAATTAATTTCTAAAGAAAAAAATAATGTGGAGCAAATAGATAATTTAAAAATACAGGTATCAAAGTTGGAAACTGAAGTTATATATTTAAATTCTAAAAACAAGGCTCTCAACGCACATTGTAACTCATTAAGTTCTCAATTAGAGACTATGAGTATTAGGCTAAAACAGGAGGAGCAGTTCCAACTTTTAAAAAAAAAAAAATTAAAAACAGCACACCGTAAATTTGCATCTGCTCGTGCCAAAAATGTAAGATTGCTAAAAAAATTTAAATTTGAAAAAAAAAATGCAAAAATCAGTGATATAAACAAGAACAGTTGCTAAATTTGCAAATATTTTGCTAGCAGTGATAAGGATTTAGTTGTCGTTGATTCTTATTTAGACTATGACAACATTGGTTCCTCTGAATTATTCTGTGGGTTTAAATTAAGTAATCCACAGACTATATCAGTTAAAAAGCCAATAGTTGGTAAGAAATATACTTACATTAAGTTAGGAGATGGTAAATCTTATTCTAAGTTAGGTAGGCATGCTGCAGCTAGACGATCTAAACTTGCTTTTATATTCCTTCGATTATTAGCTTGTTCAGATTTGGAAAGTGATTTGTCTATGTTGTTTTGTGATTCTGTGTCTTGTGAAAAGTCTATGTTTCATTGTGTTGCAAATAAGTTGGGTTTAGTTAGGCAGTTAAGTGTTTCTGATGCTGTAGAGCTGCAGAGCCAATTAAGGATGCCCACGGCTGAATTCCGTAGGCTAAGACGTATTCTGTGTAATCTTGGTGCAAGGATTCTCCCATCTGAGCCCAAGATAAGACAAGAACAAGAAATGCGGACAATGCATGTTAGTAAAGAACATGTTACTGTAAAGTCCATGTTGCTTTATCCATCTGCGAATGAAGCACCTTGTTTAGTACCTGTATTGATGGTCAAGAATTTGATAACTTATATTGAAGAGGTTTTCAATAGTCTGCACGTTCGTGACCACTTCAATTCTGATGTCGGTTTTTGCGAAGAGGTATGGCTCCTTTTTGCTGGGGATAAGGGTGGGAAGTATATGAAATTCCATTTTGAAGTTGTCAATTCTAAATCATCAGGGTCTGTATATGATGTTCATTTATTTTGTATGTATCAGGGTTCAGACTGTCGTGAGAATATTGCCTTAGTTCTCGGGCATTATGCCAACGACATTAAAAGAATTCAGTCGTCAGATTTTAAGCTAAAAGGCAAAATAGTCAGGTTGTTCTTAGGTGGAGATTTTCATTTTATCGATGATGTTCTGGGACACCAGGGTTCAGCTGCTAGCTTTCCTAGTTCTACAGACCTAGTTAAGTTGAATTCTCTAAGAAACCATGCTTCTATGCCTCACACACCTGCTAATTGTAACATCTTAAGGAGGACAATACAATCTCTGGAAAGTGCTTACAATGAGAACTTGTGTGATGATAGACAAGGTGGAAACCTAAGAGCTCTAGGTAAGTTTCATAATTCAATTATTGCTCCTGTGATTTTCCCCATAATAACTTTAGATAATGTAGTGCCACCTGTTTTGCATATTATGTTAGGAGTTGTGTTAAAACTTTATAAGTTATTGTTGAAGGAGTGTAAGATTTTGGATTGTCAAGCTGTTTCGTCTTTGTCGCATAATGAGAATGTGAGAACGAATGAATTGTGGGCTGCTAAAAGCTTTGAATGTTCTAAAACAGCAGACTCTTTACGTTTATTAGGAAATCAATTTGTAGACGTTGCAAATCTACAGACTCGTTGGTTAGCTTTTGATAAAAATATTTCTGAATTGGAATGCATATCTCTAAACTCCTCCAATAAAAAAAAAACCTGTAAACAGCAAGAAAAGTGTGCTAGTATCAGGTGTTTAATTACTAAATATGATTGTAACATTGATTGGGTGCAGTGTGGTACGTGCCAAAAATTGTTCCATCAATTTTGTGAAATTATTGGTGGTTCGGAAAAGAATGTATTGTGTGATATAGAGAAGTATGAGTGTTTAGCATGTCAGGGTGAAGATTTAGAATGTCTTGACCTTTATATTTCTGAAAAAATTTCTTTTATACGCGCACAGCGCGAAGTTTTAGACGTTGAGTATATTCGATTGCAGATAGAGTGTGACGACCTAGAAAAAATATCAATAAGTAGCATGGGGACTCATGAGAGGTCTCTTTATAAGGCCCTTGAAGATATGAAAGTTGAGCGACAAGCTTACCATGGTAATGTATTTGTAGGTAATCATTGTAAAATAGTATTAAGAAACCACTATAAACTTTGTAGTGTTATTGATGATGAAGCAATTAAAAATAGATTTGTACGTGTGTTTAGTGTTTTTAATAACTTGCAACCTATTCTTTTTAAGCGAAAATTTCTTTCTGATGCCGAAATTTCTGAGCTTCATCAATATATAAATTTATTTGCTATTGAGTTTCATGCTTGCTTTCCAAAAGAAAGTATCACGCGAAAAATGCATGAACTCATTTTCAATGTGCCACTATTTGTAAAATTGCATAAAACTATTGGGTTGCTGAGTGAAGAGGAGGGAGAGTGTTTGCATAATAGCGTAAATAAGGAATTAAGGCAGTTGCATTCAGTTAGAAATCAGGAGCAAAAGCTGCATCTTGTTTTAAAACGCTTTGAATTGCACAGCAAAGCTGATAGGAAGCTTCAAGCCTCTGAGGTGAGAAAGTGTGTTGTGTGTTCAGAGCGTGGCGAAAATTCATTTTATAGACAAGGTCTTTGTCTTGTTTGTGGTCATCAAATTTAGTTTAAATGTTTGAAAAGTTAAAAAAAAAAATTAAACTTTTTACATCTAAGATAAATTATATAAGATCCTTAATTTACAAATAAGAGAATTCTATTCTGTTTTAATGCCTGTAATGTTTGTTCAAAATAATAATAATTTTTTATTACAATGATTTTATATATTAGGTAGATGCCCATTCTGTTCCTATTTTCAAAAGTTTATTATATCTATGCAATGCCTTTGCTCAGGTTAAAGAATGGAATAAAAGTCTAGCATCAAATGTATAGCTAACTATTTTAATTTGTGATCAGAGCAACTGGTATGTTTGTTGGATATGATTTTGTATGTTTATGTAGTTAATTCAAAAAACGTTTTATCCTTTGTTATGTAATATGTAACATTTTTTATATATATTAGATCTCCGTTTAATTTTTATCATCAAAAGTTAGTTCTACCTTCGCAGGACCTCTGCTCTACATACCTCCTCTCTGGTTAAAGAATGGAATATAAGTCTCATTTATCAAGTTGGTGTAAAAATTTAGCTTGATAAATTAAGAAGTTGTAAACTTTATTATCACAATTGCCAAGTTGACCAAATGTTCTTCTGGTTTTAAATGAATTATGTATGAGTCTAGTATCATCTGGGTGTTCAAAGATAGTTTACTGCTTGAAGAACATATCAATGGACCAACTAATTATAAAACAGTTTTTAATGAAAATAAAAACGAATTATCAAAAGATTTAATTCAGCTATTTGTGTATATTTAAACACTTTATTTTTTGTGAGAAGAGATTATTGATACAAGTACCATAAAATAATTCTACTACCAAAAGCTAGGTTAATTCAAAACCTTTAACTCAATTTTGGTCATGAATTATTTTATTAGAATTGATGAGTTTTTATTTATTAACTACCTAACACCATATTATTAGAACTTTATTTTGTAATGTAATGATTTTATCAGCGTTCCAAAATAATTTTCTAAATCAAGAACTTCTATATTAAAAAAAGTACTCATTTAACAACTAATCCCCCCTTATAACGACGTTTTTCATAATTTTGCGAAAAATGTGGTTTGCTTTCACAATTCGATTAAGGCTGTTTTAGTTAACCTTAAATAATTAAGTAAGGTTTTTTTGTTTTCATTATTGTCAAACAATAAGTGTATTTGATAATAACTATTAGGAATATATTTTTCTATTTTTTTTTTGATAAAAAGTAACATCAAATTACAAAAATTTAGCCAAATTCAATATATGTCATATTTATTCTAAACTAAAAGAAGTTTTTCTACTAATGCATTAAATGTCATAAGGTAAAACATTTTATTGATGTCTTAATTGTTTTTACAAAACAAAATTACCTCTTATATTTCAAAAGTTATAAAAGTTTTAGTAACACCCCTTTAGTCAATATTTTCAAAAATTAACAAGAAGCCGTTAAGCTCGGTTTGAAACAGCCGTGTAAAACTTGCAGAAAAGTTAAATGTCCTCAATGTTATAAGTGAGTATATCTTAATAAATATTTTTTTTACGGTAAATAAAAGATTATGTTAATAACTCTTTTATTAAATTGTACGAAGTTATAACAAAGTTGTACTTAGTTTATACTTAGTTATTCAAAGTTCTAGCAAAGTTAAAACGAAGTTATTTATAAATATATATACATGTATATATAATTATACATATATATATATATATATATATATATATATATATATATATATATATATATATATATATATATATATATATATATATATATATATATATATATATATACATATACATATACATATACATATACATATACATATACATATATATATACATATATATATATATATATATATATATATATATATATGTATATATAAATATATATAAATATATATAAATACATATATATTTATATACATATATATATATATATATATATATATATATATATATATATATATATATATATATATATATATATATATATGTATATATGTATATATGTATATATAAATATATATAAATATATATAAATACATATATATTTATATACATATATATATATATATTATATATATATATATATATATATATATATATATATATAAATATATATATATATATATATGTATATATATATATATATTTATACATATTGCAAATGGGATGCTAACAAAGGTAAAACATAATGTAGAGACTGTGAAACCATAGTAATATCTGGTCTTTGGCTCACATCATAATTATTGATACATGGGGACAAAAATATTCTATAAATTAAAAAGAGTAAAGAATTCTACAAAAAAAGTCTATGAAAAAATTTAACTAAATAACGTTGACAGTCAATCAAAAATAATGAAATTAGATCAAATGATCTACTTGCTGAACAATGCCTTTGCATGAAACATTATAAACAAAAATAAATTGTTTCAACAATTAATTAAAGTTTACAGTTATCATTTCTAACCAGTCTTAAATTAGTATGAAAATCTTATACCAAACAAGTAAAGAGATATATATTTATCAAACAAGTAAAATAGTTTATCATGAAAATATCTGAATAAACTATGAAACAATTTAAATAATAAAAACTTTATTATGACCACAGTTTCTTCAACAAATCCTAAAATCAAAAAATCGGTACTTAAAACGTCATAACTTTTTGTAGGATAGTTTGATTTTGAAAATTTTTTCACTTTTGGAATATTGAATTTAAACTCTTTTTAGTGATATATAACAACCTAGAATTTAATTAATTTAAAAATTTCATGTAACATACCTAGAGATATAGGACAACCGCTAAAAATTATACTATAATATTGTACATTTAAATTTTCAAATAAAAAAGAATTCTTTAACAATATACAAAATACGCATAAATACATATACAGTTTTAACAACATTATATGCCAATATTACTAATCATTACAAGTTTGAAAATTGCAAACATCGAGCTTACGGAGACATAAAATTTGTGAAATGTTTTTAAAATGTTACTGAAGTATTAGCAAGTCGATATAAGAATTTAAAGTACATATTTCAAAATTACAAGGTTAAATTAATATATTTTTTATTTAAAACAGACCAATTCCATCCTCAATTAAATATTTTAGTGCTTCTGAAAATCGGCCAGGACGCGGCCAGATTTAGGCCGCTTTACCCTAATTTTAATGAATAGCTCTAATATTAAATTAGTTATGAATTTTGTCCAGTAAAGTGAATTCCATAACGTATAATTGGTTACGGCGTATACACGACGTTTTGTATCGGTTCACTCGGTTCTAAGAAAGATATTCTTTATGACTTAGGTTCTGAATACCGCGAATAACATTAAAATTAAGCATCTATAACAATACATAAATGAATGTTTTGTTTGAAGATACTTTAAATTTATTTTTTAAATGCGACGCAACGTTTGCTTTTATTTCACTAACTATTGCAATAACATTATATAAAGTTTTTTCAAAATTCAAATCTTTCAAAGCATCAAAAAAAGAGAACTTGATATGTTTAAATGAAGTTGTAAAATTCCCTTTTTCAGTCTACGATGAAAATACCAAAATAGTTACAACAAATGAATCCGAAGATATCCCGAGTTTAATCAAAACTGTTTTTCAAAATGTTATTATATATGTCTTAAACAAAGCAGAAGATTGTAATGCCGTTTTAGAATGTTTTCAAGAAAACTTGCATTTTGTTGGACTTGATTGTGAATGGGTTTCAAATGAAAAAAGCCATGTGGCTCTTATACAATTATCTTTAGGAACAACTTGTCTTATTTATAGAATCCCACAGTTGTCAATTAACGAAGAGTTTCCTTTTCAATTAAAGAAGCTGCTTGAAAACCCCAAAATTTTAAAATTTGGTGTAGCTATTTATGAAGATGTCCGAAGACTGCATTCCCACGGTGTTGCAGTAAGAGGTTTTGTTGATTTAAGGATTTTAGCTCAAAGATGTTTACCATTTATCACAACAAAAAATTCTGAAGATGAAAATAAGTATGTAAAGTTGTTATTTTGTTTATAATATTGTAAATAATAATAATAATAATAATAATAATAATAATAATAATAATAATAATAATAAAAAATGATAATAATAATATTAAAAATTATACTTTCTTTTTTTCATTTAAAATGTAAACCATGAGTTTGGGTAGAATAAAGTGTTGTATTAATTATTTCTTATTCTATTTTTAGATATAAAGGAATGGGGTTGCAATCATTGTCATATAAATTATTAAATATGAATCTTGACAAATCTCGAAATATACAGTGCAGTAACTGGCATGCAACAGACCTTTCAAAGGAACAAATTCTTTATGCAGCAAAAGATGCAATAGCATCACTTGAAGTATTTTATGCTCTGGTTATTTCACGAAAATATCACCAAGTCAATTTTGATTCTAACAGTTTATTTTTTATCTCGATATTAAAATCAAATATTTATATAAAGGGAGATGTATACAATTATTGTCATAATAAAGATAAATTAATAAATGAGTTTAATACTCAATACAACTTAACTCAACCATCAGTTTTTTTAGTTGAAATGGCATGCTCTATGTGTCAAGGCATTGTGGGTTTGAACTTTAAGCAAAAAAACATTAAACTTAACAACAAAGTGAGTAAAACAGTTGTAATAAAAGAGAAAGTTTTTAAACATCCTTGTCGTGAAAAACCATTGTATGAAAACTGCTATTTGTTAGCTCCAGATGGTAAAATTTTAGCCACTATCAATCAAAATAAAGCTAAATGGTATTTGCAAAAAGGTTTAGGTATGGTTTTTTGTGATGTTAATTAAATTTGTTGAAAAATTGTTTAATATTTTCATATATGGAAATTTATTTATCATATATTACATAATAAAGTTTGATTTTCTAGGTTTTATTGACTGTGAGGAACCTTTCACTGTACGTCTTTTATTTCAACCACATTACGGTACTTCATCAGATGATGGTGAATACTATACTACAGTTAAACAAAATGTGTGCGTAGTCTGTGGTAGGAGTGAAAATTTAGTTCGTAAAATGGTTGTACCGCATGATTATCGTAAGCATTTTCCTGTGGAACTCAAAGGTCACACTTCACATGATGTGCTACTATTATGCTTACATTGTCATAGGTAACTTCAAAATTTTTTTAAAGGTATGGCAGTATTTTTCTAACCTCAAATTTAGTGATTGGGTCCGTATGTAGATAACTAATTATAAGGCAGAAATTTGATTTTGCATTTAAAAACCTAGCATGAGAAAGAAAATTGGTGTATGTTTAAATGGTTGCTTAAAAACTTGTTTCAAAAAAATAACCTGAAAGTTCATTTTACTTGTTTTTTTAAAGCCTGGTTTTTTGGTTTTTTAAATTAAGTTTACAGTTTTTTTTTTTTTTATGTGCAAAAGAAATTATAAATAAAAAATTCTATAAATGTTGATAACAATTGTAGTAGTCAGGGGCTATAGACCGTTTTCGACAGCTTTGACTGTATTTAGGCGCTGCCCAAATTAAAATTTGAGGACCTTTTTTTTTACGTTTTTTAATGTTTTTTTTTAATGTTTTTACGTCAAATTGGATTTGTCCCTGGTTATTGCTATAACAAACAAATATATTAGGGTTTAAAGAGAATTTAAGTTTAAATTAACAAATCTAAATTTTGTTTGAAATAACACAAAAGAGAATAATTTGTATATTTTACTTAGGAATCCTATTAATACTTAGTATCAGAGTTGTGTATCAGTGCTTGGCCTTGGCCTGGCCTTAAGGCCAAAGATTATGGGCTTGGCATTGAAACTGTTGGCTTTGGCCTTAAAAATTTTGGCCTTGGCCTTAAAAAAATACATATTTTCTTACTGATTTTGTTGAATTCTGCGCATAACCTTGGTCTATTTTTACAAAATGTGGTTTTAATGTCACAGCACTTGCAATTTACAGTTTTGATAATAATTGGCCTTAATGTAAGACAATAATTTAAGTGTTTAGTCTTGTAAATGTTTCCGTAGGCCTTGGCTTTGAAACTCTTAATCTTGACTTTAAAATTCTTGGCCTTGTAACTTTTGGCCTTAATCTTGGCCTTGGCCTTGTAGCGTGTGGTCTTGGTCTTGCTACTTTTGGCCTTGTTAACAATTCTGCTTAGTATACTTCTTTAAATAAATATTTTTTTAAAAATGGCTTATCATACCTTATACAAGAGTATTTTGAATTGCATTCCAAAATACTCTTGTATAAGGTATGATAAGCCTTTATCATACCTTATACAAGAGTATTTTGGAATGCAATCTAAATAGTTGTTGTGGTTTTTATTTTCTTCACCTGAAATTTAGCCTCTGTAAGCTTTAAAGAGATTATTGATGAATTTAAAGTTACAGATACTAATGTTTTTATAGTGTTGTGATGTTTATATTCACTCCATGTTAGTTTCTGTAACTCTAAATTTTTGGGTATTTTAATAAAAAACTCTGTTCCATCTGAGATTTAGTGCAATTCTGAATAATTTAATTTTTTAAATCTGTTTGGCATGGTCTGTGTTAAAACATCTTTACTTGGAAAAAAAAACATGTGTTTTATAAATGAGCTAGAAGCTTTCACCCGTGTAGAAAATATTGTACTGCCTAATCCTAAAAATATATTAAACCTGTCAGCAAGATCAATTGTCAGTAATCCAACTCTTAACTTCATTAGCATCATTAAAAATTAATCTTTGCTGCATAACTTTCATTTTGGTCAAAATAGTTTAGGTTTTTTTTTAAATTTTAAATAACGGCAGTAGATGTTTTTTTAACATCCCTCTTTTAATTAATTACACCCGATCCCTTCTTTTAATTAATGGTGATATTGCACTATGTAACTCATGAGACACACTGACAGTCGTAAGGCGAGTATAAAAGTCGCAAGATCTATCTATACTTTTTAATAAATGTTTTTATAAGAGTAAACTGCAGTAACATGATTTGTTTGCATTATGTTTATATACAAGTTTGTCTGCTTTCATTGTAATAACTGATGTGGTTGAGGTTAATTTTTCTTATAAATTTTTATTTATTGCTCTAATATAAAACAATGTTTAACATTAAATTCAACATAATCTGATAAATCATTGTTTGAAAAAGGTGTGATACTTGACTGAACAAAGTTAAAATTGATATCATCAGCAACATCAGAAACTATTTTATTATTTTTTGTTGATGAAATCAGTGATTCTTGTGATGAGGTTGTTATTTGTGATTTATAGCTTATTTTTTGTCAATAATTATTTACATTTAATAATATTATTCTTTGAGCATTGTAGCCTAAGCTTAACAAAGAATTTTAAAACAATAGTGCTCTGTCCTGAAAATTGTTTAAACATGCTCTCATTTTAGATTTTATGGTGATTAATTTATGTGATAATGTAGGAGTTAAGCGGTTAATTAGTTTTTTTCATATTTTTCTCTGAGCTTATTATAACTCTCAATAATTTAAGTTTTTAATTAGTAATTAAAGTTTGTTTTTTTTTATATCTTTGCATCCAATAAGGCTGCAAGCAACCACTATAAGAGTTGGAAGTTACTGGAAGAGAAAAGATGAAGTTTGAGCAAGATAACGATTGACAGACGACTTAAAAGATTGCAAATTGTATAAATCAGGAAAACAAGATGAGGGAAGCGAATTCCAAAGAACTGATGTTCGAGGAAAAAAACCAATAAGAGAAGTTGAAGCACTTAGGAATTTTTGGAGCACTTAGGGGTCATTCCATGCCAAGTGAACCAGGGTCCAACATGGACCCCCTCAGATTTTGATGAAACTCGGTGGGTTGGTTTATATCAATGAGAAAAGCAATTCCTGAAAATTTCAACTTAAAATTTTTTGTGGTTCATGAGATATTGCCATTTGAAATTTCTGATTTTTCCAAAAATTAAAATTTCATTAGCGAAAACATGTTTTGTTCATACTTTGAAGCATTGTATTTTAAAAATAAAAATTCAGAAAACCTTCTAGTTTTTTTTGTTATATACAACTGTAGGCTTACCTTTTTAAAACCTTGACATTGAATTTTTTTAATGTTTGTATATTGTTGTATATCTGTGTGTTGATAATGAATAACAAATGCTTACTCATATGGTAGTTTGTAGTTGCACAAGTTAGAGCTTTGTTTAACATTGTGTACACATAAATCTTTCCACATTTCTAGATTGTATTCGCTATTTTTACAATCAATGACAGCGCGTAGGTTTAACAGGGTGGCCACAGTTCTTTTTAAATCCTCCAAAGTCTTCTTTTTCCAAAAACCTCCTCTAAAATCCTTTATTATCTTCTAAAAAGTTATAAAATGTGATAAAATCTCCTCTTTAACTACTCTTTTTCATTTTTTTGTTTCTTGATGGAATTATACTATTCAAAATTCTTCATTTGCAAAACTGATTAATGTCTGAAATGTGTGTAAAAAATCAGTTTTAGCTAATCCATGCTATCTAACATACAAAATGACATTATTGACTTTTAAACCCTGGATAAAAACATTTAAAAAACATTTAAACAATATTTAAAAACATTTAAAAAACATTTAAAATAGTTAAAAAAACATGGATGTTAAACCTATAAAAAATATCCTCTAAAATTTTTGTTTAAAATTTTGTAGTTTTGTGAAAAAAAATCTTCTAAATTAAATGCAAAATCTTCTCTAAAATCCTCTAATATCCTCTTTTTCTTATGAAAATTTTTGGCCACTCTTTTCAGTATTTACATTGTTTTCCATTATGAACCTCGATGACTTAAACTGTTGAAATAATGTTTGTATACGTTTTTACTTTCAAAGAATTTAGAAACAATAGACCTTTTCACAGCTCCGATATAAAATTTATACGCGCGCAGAAATGGCACTAGCAAATCAAACTTTCTTTTTTTAAAAAAGCATGGATAACAAAGTGGAATAGTTTTTTTCTTATAAAAAAAACTCTGTAGCAAAATAATCAAAAAGTTATTTAAACTAAATACTTTGTCGCACAATTGAGTTTATAAAATTTTGAAAGTTTTAAATTCGTACTTTTAGAGGTTATTATATTACACACGATTATGTGATTGAGAGTTCAAATCAAAGATAAAAGCAGTTTCTTTACTTCCGAAATTGTGTTTGAAAGACCACAAATACCTGCTTTCAGAGTAATTCTAATCTCCGGTATTGTTTTACCATTACCGGCAATTTTATTTGTTACCGTTACCTATAACGATTTTTTCAATTTTTTTCTCGATGTTACACTTAAGTTTAGTAAAACACCTTTTTTTTTAAGTTTTTCTTTTAAATTTGTCAGTTTTTTATTTTGATTTATTTTTTTGTTATTTGATTTAGAACTGCGCAGCATGCTGATGATGCCCTTCGCCAAGAACTTGCGGCCAAACATCTTGCACCTCTCGGTACAAAAGAAAGAATGATTCTTATAGACAATCCTGTTTTACTTAAAATTCGCTCGGCAGCCAAAGCTCTCTTTAATCAAAAATCAAAAATTCCATACCTCAGAAAGATTGAGCTAGAAACTATCATTAAAGATTATTATGGTGTTGACACAATAAGCGAAGATTTGCTGCGTGATGCTTTGAACATGAATGTCAAAATAACTAACGAAGCTTTTCAGTACCTTCATGGAGAAAAGGTTGTAAAAGATATTATTCGGGAGGACCGTTTGTTCAATTTTATTCGCATGTGGCGTCAGCATTTTCTTGACGTGATGCAACCAAAGTTCATGCCTGAGCTATGGTCTGTTGATCATAACATACAAAAATATGATAATCTTAAAATAGCAGTTTAGAACATGGTTGTAACCTGTAGACAAAATTTTTTTCAAGTGTTTTTATGGACTGGAATGGATTCAGATCTATAATTGTCAAATATTTTTGTGGTATTGTTCAAAGTTGCAAATAACAGCACAACAAAAGTTTTTAATGCACATTTTAAAATGCACAAGTTTAAAATTTTTAATGATTTAAAAGACTAAAATTTTTTGAATATATTGTGAAATGAATGCTGCTGGCATTGTAATTATTTTGCACTGAGGCAAGTTATGCTAGTTTGCTCATGTACGCTTGTTTAAAGTTAATTAATCCTCTTTTAGTTCTTTAAAAGGAAAATAAAGCGTTCCTTTTAAACCAGCATAAACCTTCAAATATCTGAAGAACTGTTATAAATCATAAATTTTTATAAAAAAAGAATTAAAGCAATAACAAGTGACACGATCATTTCTAAGATCAACGAGCTGATAGAGACAAACCTCTAATCGTTGGGTAAGTTTATCAGTAGCAACTATTAATACTTCAGAAAAAGCTACGCTCTTCATCAATAGTTTTGCCTCAATTTAGTCTTAAACTCATGATGTGATGTAGTTGTTTTAAGTTTATTAGATAATATTTTGTTCTATACTTTTGGTCCTCGAGTAGAAATTGAAAATTTAGTCGCAGCAAAATAACTTTTAAGTTGAATGCAGCTGTTATTTAAGGATCTGATTTTTATATCTGTTCTGATTTATTTTGAATAGCAGGGGAAATATTTATTTTTAAAAATATAATATATTTATTTGTTAGACATTCATTATATTTGAATTAAAGTGGTCTTATACTAATAAAATCAAAATTTTAAAAATGCATTTATATTTTATGATTTTATAAAATATAGTATTTCATATTTAAAGCACAGTAAATAAATAAAATTATTTTTTTCGGGGTCAAGATTTTAGGTTTATGGACCCTAAATATGGACTACTTGTTGAAATAAATAGCCTATGAACTAATAATGATATGACCATGAAATTTTCATGAACTTTTTAATATCTGATAATTACACTCACCCTGCCAAAATCAAATAGTTTAACAAATTGTTCAAGCTTTTGAAAGAAAACTAGTTTAAGGTAGGGTTGTTAACCGGAGGATTTCGTGCAATTCCGGAAAAACAACATTCATTCGTAAGGAGATTGAGAACGAGGAATTACATTTTTTCGTACCGAATGTTACAAAACATTTAAAATCGCCGATGTTCATTTCGCAAAAGCCACTTCCGAAATTTAGCATTTCGCAAGTTGACATACGAAACAAAACTATTTTGCAACATACGAAAGTAGCGGTTTCGGCAAACGACGTTTTAAAGTCTATAAAGAAAATTTGTTTGCCAGACTGATTTTAATTGTAAAAATTAACATCTTTAAATCCCAAAATGTTTATAATGAATTTTTATTTTCAGTATAATAACATATTAAATTTTTATGGTTTTATTTTTAGAAATATTGATAAAAAATAAAATTTCTTTCGAAACGAAAGTATTTCGGATCACAACATACAAAAGAATTCTTAACGGAAATAAACTTACGAAACGTTAATAAATATACATAATAATATATATTATATAACGTTAATAAATATAAATTATATAACGTTAATAAATTTAAATAAAATTATATAACGTTAAAATAAAATTATAAAACGTTAATAAATATAAATAATAAATATATATAATATAAGTAAATAACGTTAATAAATATATATATATTACGAAAATTAATAAATATATATAACGGTGTTTTTTGAACTCATTACGTATATTAAAAATAAGAATGATGGGTAGGAATATACATTTTTTTTTAAAGCATATGAAATTTTTGAAACAGGTTCGAATATGCTTAAGCAAATAGTAAAAAGAAGCTCAAAAATATGCTTTAGCTTAAGCATATTTCTGATAAAATATACCTATTTCAATAATTTCTAAAAGTATGCACGTTACTAAAGTTCTAGCAGATTTTAAAGGTATGTAGAGTCCTGTTTGAATACGCTTTTTGAAGTATAGATCTAAGAAAATATTGTTTTTTAATTTTAATAAGATATAAATTTAAGAATAAGATCGTATAGTTCAATCAGTTAGATGCGTGATAATTGCCGCAGAGATCCGGGTTCGCATCCCGCAGCCATTGTAACTTTTGTTCATTAAACTCTTTTTACTTAAGATAGCATTTTTTGACCTCCATGTTCTATATTACAGATCTTTCGTCACCTTCATAATAGTGACAACCTCTCTCCTGTTAGTTATTCTTTTAAGATTGAGTTCATTGTGCTTAATTCAACACGTTTCCCTTGCTTTACTAAGTTCTACTTAAATTATGATGAAATGTACGTAAAACAACTTTTTCAAATAATATAAATCATTTTTCTTTAAATCTTGTGCTTTTTTTACTAGACATCTGTCCTAAACACTTTGTAATAATTTCTAGCTAACTCTGAGTCTAATATAATCACTTCTGAATATAATTTCCCTGAGGCTCCAACAGCCTATTGTGTTCCATTAAAAGTAACTAGTTTTCGAGTCCAGATATTAATTATAAGCAACTAAAGGTTCACATTACTATTCATTTTCCTAATATATAGAATCCTATTTGCATACGTATCTTTTACTGTAAATTCTGTTTTATATAGTTTCTTAATTATATATTAAATAAATATTACTATTCACTTAGTTGAATGAACGTATAGCTCATTCAGTTAAGACATTTAGCCGCGGAGACCCAGGTTCACATCCCGCTGTTTCACATCTATTTCTTCTCTTTTTACTCTTTCTGATATCATTTACCTTTAGAGAGATCTCTCGTTCTTAATAATAAAGTATTTAATTGTTTATCACACATCCTCTTTATACTTTTTAAAAAGAAAAGCATACTGTTTATCTGTTCGTTGAGAGTCCAACTTAACGGGATTTTACTGTATGTATATATATATATATATATATATATATATATATATATATATATATATATATATATATATATATATATATATATATACATATATATATATATATATATATATATATATATATATATATATATATATATATATATATATATATATATATATATATATATATATATATATATATATATATATATATATATATATATATATATATACAGTTAATATCTTAAATATATCGTAACATAAAATCTTTTGCGTCTTTTTCGTAACTGCACATTCCGGAATGCTTTTTCCGTTAGGAACTATTTCGTAAGTATTCTTACGAAATGATTTGTTTCGCAAGTTTTCTTTCGCAATGCTTTATTACGGAATTTTATTTATTTATATTTTCGTATAGCGCGTTACGAAATGTGCATTTTTGCATGTGCAACTTTCGCAATAACAATTCTATTACGGTAGATAAAGATGCGAAATTTTCGCAAGTTTTGTTTTTTGGCGAACAACCCTAGTTTAAGGCCAAAAAAATAGCCCCGAAAAAGCTCATAATATAGACCTTTTTTTAAGAACTAGTTTGCTAACATGAATTATTTTGGTAAAGTGAATGTACATATATATTATGAACAACTCCTAAACATTTCAACACAATCAGACAAACCAATCACAATATATTTATCGCAGTGTGAAAGAAACTCATGTAATAAAAAAAACAGTTGAAATTTTTAATAAAAAAAATTTAAAAAAACTAATATAAAGGTCAAAATATTATTGGAAAACAATAAATATAGAACATTGAAAATACAGAAAAAGGGAAAAATGTGAAAACTCTAATATTTGAAAAACATTTAACCAAAATAGAATCATTTAATCAATAATAAAAAGCTTTAATTTTAAAATACAATGTATAAAAACTCCGTTGAAATAAATTTAATTAAAACAATAAAAAAAAGCTAAAATCGAAAGCACCCCTGTCTCATAAGACTTTCATTTACTATATCAGTAAAATTTTGTTGCGCACGAAACTGGTTTGTTTAATGAAGTCTGCTTTGTCTTCTTTGCTTTATTGAATCAAGCAACTTCTTACATTACCTTTATTTTTCCTTGGTCTGTCTTGCAGGGTTGCCGAGAGGGAGGGGCTACCGGGACAGTTTGTCCCGGGGGGCAGATATCTAAGGGGCGCCAAATGAAATTTAGGTGTCTAAAAAAAAAAAAGAGGTCCTTCATATTTAATAAACGTAAAATTTGATAAATAAGGGCGCCAATCAGAATTGCTGTCCCAGGCGGCGTGACAGCTCTCGGCGGCCCTACTGTCTTGGTACAGTACCGAGTAGCAAATGTACACGATGTAACATTTCAATATTCAAATATGTCCAATATACCAAAAATATCAACATTAATTGAAATTACTGCTGATGCAATACTTATTTTATAAAGCAGTACAATCAACAAAAACTTCTTTAGGATAACGCTTCATGTTTTTATAAAGATTTGCGTCGCTATCTTTTCTCGATTCCCATGCTGCACACGCATTGCATATTTATGAAAAAACCTGATAGTTAATACATTTCCCCGAATCACTAGCAATAACAATGACAAGACCATTAAATGAGGAATCATTCTTTTTTTGCCAAGTTCCATTAAAGAAAACAACAACATCAGTTGCTGCATTAATATTAAAATCATTTTTTTGTCAATGTTAAATTATCAAAATTCATTTGTTGCATTTTTTATTTTCACAGCTACATTTTGATATATGAGAAAGATTTTATCTTCAATATAATTAAATGCTTTTATGTTCATTGGAGGAAGTATATTCATTAAGGTGGTACAACACCAAATAAATAAAAAAATGAAATAAACCTCCAAAATAAAAATGTTTTTAAATACAGTTTACTCAAATGATTTAAATAAAAAAAAGCAAAAAAAATTTTTTTTTTTTTAATTAGCATTAGGACCATAATGGCGGAAAAACTATTAAAAAATGCGTTTTTGGACTAAATTTCAAAACATAATATCTAAGGCTAGCCATCATTATATGACCTGAAATTTTGTACACTTACTCTAAACACTATTTTATTCCATTTAACAGATAGATTTTTTAAATATCAAAGTAAATGATGAGTTATGTAGTTTTTCCTCATATTTTATTTATTTTTTGACGTTTTAGAGAGATCTGACTAAAAAAAAAAAAATTACTGATCATAAAAAAAAATCCATCTGTTAAATGAATTTTATAGGTATTTCGAGCAAGTACTGAAAATTTCAGATCAAATGAACAATGCTAACTCAAGAAACTGTGTTTTGAAGTTTAAGCAAAAATAAAAAAACGCGAACTGAGATAAACAGCATTGAAAAATTCTTGATATAATATTTACAATATTAATTTAAAATCCTCCTGAAATATAACTGTCGTTACATTCTTTTGCTTTCTCCTCATCTAGGTGACCTTTTTTAATGGCTCTAAGAGTTTTTCTTCTTTTTTTCCCCTTCTCTGATGACTTGCACCTCATTTGACTAATCCTTTTTTTATTTTTAGAAGTCGCTGAAATATTTGATACCTTACCATGTAAACCAAAATGTCTAAAAACACTAATAACACCCTTTGCACCATCATTGTATGCTAAAATAGCTGAATACGTTCCCATTTCCAGTGTTGATTTAGAAACAAAAACTCTTTTTGGTACACGA